AGCTTTATTGTTAACTCTAGCAAACAGATTTAAACAGGAATACAAGAGCATAAGATAGAATGAGACAGAAATACAATGATGTTATTTTGAATGGTAAGCAATAATTTGGAAGGTGTCAAAGGAGACAGAGGTTATTGGAGGAGATGCTGACTCTCTGGCTGCCTAAAGGCAGGTCTGCTTCTTCAGATAGAGGAGAGAAGCATAAGCAGAGAGAACAGCTTGTCACCTGGAATATGTTTAGGACGATGATTAAAAGCTGAAGCAATCTGTCAGATCTCTTATTAATAGATATTAGATTACAATAAATCAACAAAACAGTATCTACTGCAAGGAGGCACTGATTTGCTGTCAGTTCAGTCTGGGAGAATAATTATGTTGAAGATTTATGCAGCTCTTTGCTGCCTGCACTGTTCAGTTGCTAGCTTAAAGATAAAATCTCATTTGAAAGGCGGGGGGGGGGGGCTTCCATCCTGATTGTTTACTGTTTCTTCAGTCTACTCTTCTAATAAAACGAAAGGCCCAAATGGATTATTTGTAAAAAAAAAAAAATCCTTTTTTTTTTTTTCATTCTTAGGGCTTAGACATCTGGAGTTTGCTAAGGCTTTCTTCGAGGATGGCTGATCAAGATATCAGCTAGTCAGTACTTAAAACAGATGAAGTAGCAGAAAAATATATTCAGCATAAAAATCTGCTAGATGGGTTTGTAAGCAGAATAAAATGGGAAAGCTAGAAATACAAGGAAGAAGTAAAATAAAAAGGCCTGAAGAAGAATACAAGGAAGAAGTAAAGTAAAAAGTAAAATAACTAAAAGGGCTGAAGAAGCAAAGAAGCCAATTGTGGTTACCAGGCCACTTTGGAGACAAAAAGAACCCTGCCTTTCTTTGCAGGGGAAGGAGAAGGCATGAGTGAATGAAGCCATTTCATTCCATGCCCATCTTGGCTATACAAGGAAGGTGGTTCCCTAGGCAAAACCTGCAAAAGCCCTTCCTTTTCTTGCATGGGAAGGATGAAGCTGAGGCAAGCAGAAGCCTGCCCCCTCAGACTCCCCGACTGAGGACCACAGTAGGTGACTCCTGTAGCCTTCATTGATATCCCACTTTTTATCTCAGAGGGGCTCAGGCAATACCTCTGAGTGAGGTGTACAAAAACAGCAAACAAGCTCCAAGTTTTCAACATGTACGAAATTAAACTAAGCTTACACCAAGTGCAACTGAATTAAATAATTGAGTGCTGTAATGTTTTGGTTTTATATTAATTCGTTGCTCTTCTGAAATATTAATTCCTGTAGTCCCAAACAATGGACTGTAATGATAATGCTTTCAATTCTATGGTTTTGTACAACAGAGGAGCTTACAGTCAGCTGACGTGGTGATAATCAGCACAATTGCTTGTGATTTTGCCCACAGATACTGAAATATGGCCTGAACTCTGTGTTCATCATCTTTTTGCTCCTTGAAATATCCTTAGCGATAACTGCCCTGGTTATGTTCACGTCTCAGAAGCAGCAGGACTATCAACAAATGGTGAGGATAGAAACCCAACTGGTTTATTTGTCTGTCTTATTTTGTCTGGGTTATTGCTGTAGTAAATCTAGCCTTAAATCAGGAGCTTTGAGGGCTCTGTAGAAGGAGAGCCATGTTAATCCATGGTAGCAAAAAATCAGAAGGGTCTGGTAGTACCTTTTTCATCTAACAAATGCTATTAAATCCCCCATCAGTCTAGCTATTCTGCACATCTGATGAAGTAAGCTGAAGCTCACAAAAGCCTATGCCCCGTGATAAAATGTGTTAGTTGGAAAAGGCGCGCCAGGGCTTCCTCCTGATTTTCAGGCTCTGGGCGCACTTAAATTCTGAACTTTTCCTTCTGTTACCATTTCGGGGTTCCCAAGTGCTCTCCAGGCATTTTGACTCTACTAATTTTTTGGAATTGTGGGGAAAAGAAAACTGTTGTTCCTGTGCAATTAAGTGGTAAAAACCTGTATAGTTACTAGATTAATCTTTGTTGTGTGCATTTTCCAGGTATCATGAAGATAAGCAGTTTCTCTTCTCCTGTCCCACAATGCTAAACACTTAGGTGCTTTCCTGGCTTGAAGCTATATGAGTATGAACTTCCTATTGTCTCTTTATCTTCCCAAGTTAGGCTACAAGCATCAAAAGAAGACGCTACTGCTAAACCTCAAAGATCTGCATTATATGCCTCAACCTAAAAACTGAGAGCAAGCTTCGTATTTGTTTATTATGAGCTTCTCCTGTACAGGACTGCCACAAGTTTATCCCAAATACAAGGTCTCTTCCCAGGCCATGCCTTATGAAACATCCTCTGTATTTTCATCAGCTTGCATATCCTGAAAACCACTGATCTTGGTGTGTGGTGAGGGCTTCTCAATGAAGATTTTAGCATACTATTGCTCTGCCATCACTCACTTCCATATGTAGCTCTTTGGGATCTTAATGAAGAAAAGGGAGATATCTGCAAGTGGCTTTTTTCCCCCTATAAGAGACCATCTGTTTGCGATCATCTTAAATTTCTATATTTTCAACTGCGTGCTTGTATGAGAGAGAGTATATGCAAGCAACATGCAGGAGAGAGAGCTCTCTCCGGTTAGGTTTTCTGAGTTTTCTCAACATCACTTGTCATTTATGGATGTAACATCAGAATCTCCCTGTGTCAAGGCACAACTGAAAATATTTCCATTTTATACTTGGACTGAAAATCCATTTGAATTGTGCAGAATGTATGTGGAAATTAGAGGCTGTTAGAAAAGTGCTTCAGGTTCTCTTAGGAGGGGGAGAATTTAATACGGATGTATTATTGCATAATGTATTTTTTCACAAGAATAGGAAGCTTTTTCACAGAGGAAAAAATTATATCAAGACCATTAACTGGAGAATAATATTAAGTCTTCACAACTGCTGCTTTTGTTCTGCAGCTTGCCTTCATACTCTAAACCTGGGACAAGTCTCATTAACTCAGCAGAACTTGCTTTGGAGGAGATGTTTTTAAGATTGCACAGTACGACTGCAGTTGTATGAACAACAGTCTGAAGATAATTGCTGGTGATAATTCTCAGGCTTGGATTGGACTGGGCAGCAACAGGAAAAAGGACCGTTGTTACTTTGGGGAAACAATCATAGTTCAGTGGTAAAATGTATGTTTAATGCAGAAGGGTGGGAATTCAGTACCCAGTATCCTCCGTTGGAAAGCTGCAGATAGTCAGTGCAAATAATACTCAGTAGAACTAATATTCCGATTTGGCCCACGGCAGTTTCCTATGTGGCATGTTAACCCCTATCTTTGCAGCAATATGTCCTTGACAACAGAAAAAGCTATCTGAGAGAAGTAGCTAGAACAACCATGATTATATTAGCCCTTTCCTATTATTATGTAGATTATAAAGTCTGCATATAATGAAATGCACTGATTAGGAGTCAGAAAGGTGGTTAGTGTTCATACTGAAAGCAGAGAGCAAGAGCTGTTCTGCCAAATTAGTTTATTTTTGTTGCCCTGGAGTTGAGTTTTACTTTATTTTATGAAAGGTAACAAAAGAGAATGAGATATATATAACCCTAACCAGTGGTGTGCTGCCAAAGAGAAAAACATCCCTGCCGAAGTAGGAATCATGCGATTCATGGCAGGCAGACAAGCTATCAGGAACTTGAGCCGAATTTCTTAAACCCTGACTATACGGTGATATCATATACTATTATTCCTGAAGGCGAAAGAAACAAATGATTATGGGCCAGTTTATGCATTCAGCAAAATAAAGTAGCCTAAACACTTATCTCTGCCCAGCCTACTGTATGCCATTTACCTTAGTATCTCCACTTTTTGCAGTTAGCATTTAATTTTATTATATATTAAATGATATATTGTATGGATATACAGTGCATTCGGAAAGTATTCCGACCCCCTTCACTTTTTTTCAAATTTGTTATGTTGCAACTTGATACTACAATTGTTCAAATTCATTTTTTTTTCTCATTAATCTACACTCAGT